ATCACCACTCCGCGCCCTACCCTGCCCCGCCCCTTGCGTATTACCATAGATATATATATATACAAACACATGTGTTTATATATATATATATATATCTATGGTATTACTTAGGTGACAACAATAAAACATCACCTGATCGCGCAGGTGTTCGCGGTAGCAGCTGGTGTGTCTATCTGTGATCAAATAATGCTGGCGAAAGGCTGGCAGGCCAATTAGGCAGCGTGTGTCATGATCAGCTGACGTGCGATTGCAGGTAGTTTGATATCGTAGGGGAGGGGCAATTAAATTAGAGCGTGTGCGGTTGGTCAGCTACTCCTTAGAAGAGCTTATAAGTTCTATAGGTCTATAGCCAGTCCGAAACTTGGGTGATAAATATGAATGAATGCTGTGAATGAGATGAAGAGAAGAAGAGAAAGACGAAGAAAAAAAAGAAGACGAAGAAATAAAAGAAGAAAAAAATAGAAGAAGTTAAATTAGACGAATAAGGCATGGCGATGGAGAAAGGTAAAGGAGTGGGCGCAGACGAATAAACACGTTGAAGAGGCAAGAGGAGAATATTGCGAAAGGTAATCGTAAAGGTTTATATCCTACACGCAAGCGGGTTGTTATCTAGCGCGGTAGCTCATTGATCCTATAGCTGGAACACCATCATCAGCGTTGTTATGACTACCATAGCGGCATCAATATTTATCTCCGTCTTCTCATCCTCTTCGTGCTCATTCTCCTTTTATACTCCTTTCCCTCATCCCCCTCCTCCTCCTCCTCCTCCTCTTCCTCTTCCTCCTCCTCATTATTATTGTTATTATTATTGTTATTATTATGAATATTATTACCATTCATTTTGATTTTACATATTAATCAGGCGCATCATCGTCATTGTGATTAAAAAACAACCTGACTGACCTGAACGCAATCACATAATCATAGAATTCCGCCTCATACTGTGATAAATTCCGGGTTTCTGCATTGCTAGGGAATCTCTGTTATTTGTTATATGGCTGCTACAGCGACGGCGCTGAAGGGAAAACTGCACGATAACCGTAGCACCCGGTGAAGGTTCTTTGATGAGACAGCAATCAGCTACACCACGGAATGATGTTCCTGGACATCTGAGACAAAATATGTCACGCAGAAAACGCTGGCATTTGGGGTCAAGGTGCCCCGACATGTGACACAGGTTTTTCTTATGGGCATGACATTCTGAAGGGCAAGAATTTAGATTTCCGGCCTAATTTCCAGCAAATTAAAAAAAATGGTTTCAAATAACACCGAAAGGTTGACGGCGTTTTATACGTAGTGCTAGTTATAAAAACATAACACAATCTGACATGTATATATTTCCACTACGTATAGACGGCTCACGAGGACTCATTATGCAAAATAAATTAAAAACGAGGGCAATTAGCATTCTGTTTTAACAAATTTGCGTAAAACCGTTGGCAACTTACATTAGCTATTCCCGTTTAAAGATCACACGCACGTCAGAAGAACGTATTTTTTTAGGTATCATTTTTTGGCTCAGTAAGGACATGGCGTATGTTGCTAGTGACGCGCGCGCGGCGATATACACGTATGCATATTGCGCGATTTCGTGTTTATGTGCGTGTACGCGTGCGTGCGCGCGTGTGTGTGCGTGTTCGTGCGCGTCTGTGTGTAAGTGAGTGCGTGCGCGCGTGTATGTGTGAGCGTGCACACAGGCACACAACGCCGACAGAATTTTGCTACCGTCACGAACATTACATCGGATAAGTCTAAGTCAGTTCATCAAAATGTACGGTACAGTAACGAGTCCGCGTACATCTCTGTAACAGCATGAGCGTGCGTGTATGATGTGAATTGAAATTAGTGGAGACATCGTCCTTACAGATCTAGATGCTGTATTTTCTCAGACTATTTTTTAAACAATTTCTTTGATATGACATGCATCATCGCGTGAATAAAACGAAAAAATCCCAGCTCTGTTCATGGCATACCGCATTTCCGCATTAGGAACATTTCGCAACGCATGTCACACACGAAAGCGTCATGCGTCTTTCAGCGTCTTTTTATTTATATTCCGCATAAATCTCGCTCGGATAAAACCATTTGCAGATGTATTTCCGGATTTGCGGATGCGAATAATGAATGTGCTTCCCTTTGATTTTCTAAATTTTGCGTAGCTAATATTTTATCCAGGTCGAATTAAAAGATTAGCGTTTCAAAGTTCTAGACTGGCTCTGTCCTTTTTAACTGGGGTTGTTTTATCTTCAGCGAAGTAGGACGGCACCCATCATAGGCTGTGGCAGCGATCCTATGGCGTCAGTTCGTTACAGTCACCGAGAGTTCACGCTGCTGTCGATACTGTCACTTCTCCAGCTGATTATTCTCCGCTATACTAATCACTGTTCGTGCTTTTACTGTCACCGATACCGCCATTATTGCTGCTACTGTTGCTTCTGCAACTGCTGCTGCTGCTGCTGCTGTTGTTGTTGTTGTTGTTGTTGTTGTTGTTGTTGTAGTTGTTGTTGTTGTTGTTGTTGTTGTTGTAGTTGTTGTTGTAGTAGTGGTGGTAGTAGTCGTAGTAGTAGTAGTAGTAGTAGTAGTAGTAGTAGTAGTAGTAGTAGTAGTAGTAGTAGTAGTAGTAGTAGTAGTAGTAGTAGTAGTAGCAGGAGTAGTAGTAGTAGTGGTAGCAGTACTACTACTACTACTACTTATTATTATTAATAATAATATTATTATTATATATTATATTAATTA